GCAAATACAATTTATCATTGAGTCAAATGCTGACTGACGTTTTTCATACTAATTGTTAGACCATTATTTACACACTGAATTGTCGACGGATTTTTCCGTTATTTCCCAATCATGACAAGGAGCACACGGCGGGTGTGACCGGTCAGCAAGGGATGCTCACTCCTCCATGGCACCTGATCCCACCTCTGATGTTTGGAGGTCCGTGTTTGCTCTGCTCCTATTTTTTATTGTATAATGGACTTTTGAGCTTGAATACTGTTCGTTATCTCCATATATTTCATATCAAGGTGATCTTGTAATCCAATAATAATAATCACTCTAACCTTATCTTAGAGGTATTTTTTTCAATAATTTACTTTATTTAGGCCAAAAAAATAATAGTCTTGTTTTTTTTTAAATTTTGGAAGAAAAAATCTCGAATTTCCAGAATTTCATCGTTCTGTCACCATAATCGCTTTCTGTGTTAACACAAAACAAGCATTTCATGAAATTCTTTTTTTTTTTTTTTTTTTATTATCCATTGTATAACATACAAAATCAAGTTAAATTAGCAGCAAAATTACAATGGATATTTAGCACTCACACACCCATTCATACATCCATTTGCCTTTTAAATTAATATGGAGGTTGCTTCATAGTAATCAGCTTATCAACAATTGTTTCTATCACAAACTAAATATCAAAAACTTGTCAAATTATCTTACATTTGTTCAAAAATATTTTTTCAACAAAATCCATTGTTCTTCAAAATAAAACAGTTTTGAGTTACTAATAGACATACATCTTTCAATGTTGTGTTTCATTTTCAAATAATTCAGTAAACCAGTAAATGAAGGTATTTTTGGTTGTAGTAAACATGAAAAAATATATTGTTTTGTATATAGTATCATAAAGTTTTCAATTCTGTTGTCCTTAGTAAGTGGTAATTCACCTAGGATAATATTTTTGACATTGAATCCAACTCTTTTTGAAATTGTTCTGTATATATGTAAACTCAAGTTCCTCCATAAAGATACAATATGATCACAACTGACAAATACATGCAGTAAAGTTTCAGTTTCCTGAGCACAGAACTTACAAATGTCAGTAGATTTTATATTAATTTTCTTAAGATAAGAATCTACAGGGAGGATCCTATGTAGAATTCTATATTGTAGCCACTGTACAGAAGAATCGGAGGTTAGTCTTAAAACAAACCTTAAAAACATCTTTAATACAAATATCTGCCACTCCATAGGGAGATAAGTCTTGATTCCACTTTGGAATTGCTGTAGGAATTATATCATTTTTGTTTATATAATTGTAAATTTTCTTTGTACATTTTTCATAGTGAAAAATATTTTCAAAATAAAAAGGTAAATTAGGTTGAAAATGTTTTTTCAAACTCAGTCTATCTATTGACATATTCTTTAAAAATTTAGAAATGGCAGAAACTGTGCTATTATACTGCATTAAGCTTACATTGGAAATACTGAATTTTTCTTGGAAGGCAGATTTTGATAAAAATTTACAATCTTCTGACAAAAAATCTCCAATATTTTTAACTCCACTTTTATACCAATTTTCTATAAAAATACTCTTATTATCTACCTTAATATTTGAATTATACCATATAGGAATATTACAAGCCTTGTATTCAATATGAACATCCTGATCTACATTCTTCAGAACATGTAACCATGAAGTAAAAACATCAAACCAGAAAATATTGTTTTGAGGTATTAGACTATTTAAAATAAAAGCATCACCGAAATCCATAAATTTGTTTACAGCATCATTACCATTAATTCCAAAAAATATGTCTAGCCATGGCTTATTACTTTCTGTTACCAATCTTTTGACCCATGTACATTTCAATGATTTTATGAAGTAATCAACATTTAACATCTTTAATCCTCCAGATAAATAATCTTGAGTGACTATATCTCTTTTAACTCTATCAATTTTTGATTTCCATATGAATTCAAAAAGGTCTTTACACAATAAAGATATTTTATCATAGCTAGGGGTAGGAAGGGAAATAAATAAATGAGTAAGTTTTGGTAAAATGAGCGTTTTTACAACGGTGACGCGACCAATAGGTGTAAGTATTCGTCTTTTCCATTGTTGTATCATTGATTTAATTTTTGGTAAAATAAGTTTATAATTTATGTCAAAAATATTTTCTAGCTCTACAGAAAAAGTTATACCAAGCAAATTAAAAGTTGTGGATCCCCAATCTAGTTTCCATCTTGAATGATGATAAACTTGACATGAAAATTTTTTCGAGCCAATCCAAATAATTTTTGTCTTTGAACTGTTTATCTTTAAACCGGATATTTGTGAAAATAAATCCAATGTATCAAGAGCAGCAAACAAAGATTTTGGTGAACCATCAAGGGCAAGCGAGGTATCATCTGCATATTGAGAGATTTTGTGTTCTTTTTCATTTACTATTATACCTTTTATATCTCTGTTCTGTTTTATGAGAATAGCCAAAATTTCAGCACAAAGGAGAAACAAATAGGGAGCAACAGGATCTCCTTGCCTACAACCTCTTTGAATAGAAAATTGTTCTGATAAAAATCCACATTGTAAAACTGAAACTTTAAAATTTGTATTTAGGATCTTAATCCAGTCGATAATGTTCTTTCCAAAACCAAAATACTTTAAAACTTTATACAGAAAGGGCCATGAAATTGAGTCAAATGCTTTCTCAAAATCAATTAGCATCAACAGACCAGGAATATTATTTAACTCTGTGTAAGACATTAAGTCATAAATAAATCTGGTATTTTCCCCTATATATCTACCTTTAATGAAACCTGTTTGTGTATCAGAAATAAGAAATTCTAGAGTAGACTTTATTCTACAACTTAAACATCCAGATATAAGTTTATACAAGACATTTAATAAAGTAATTGGACGCCAATTTTTTAAAAACTGTCTTGGTTTATCACCTTTGGGTATACAGGAGATAATCCCAAGTCTTTGAGAAATTGGAAGTTCTTTCTTTGAAAAAATACAATTAATTGCATTTAAAATATAACATTTCAAATCTATCCAAAAGAATTTGAAAAACTCAGCAGTAAAACCATCACTTCCTGGTGACTTATTATTTTTCATATTCTTAAGTACATCTAAAACTTCACTTTCTTCTATATCATTCTCAAGACTATTAGAAGTCATCTCGTCAAGTTTTTTAACTTCAGCTGGATCAATAATATCAGTTAAATCCATATCAATACATTCTGACTCTTTATTTGAATACAGATCTTCATAGAAAGATTTAACTTGGTTTAAAATTTCAAATTGATCATAAACAGTATGTTGTTCATCTATCTCAACCCTTTTAATAATTTTATTAATATAGTTTCTTGATTCTAAATTGCAAAAATATTTTGTTGGTTTTTCACCCTCTTCTACCCACCGAGCACGTGATCTAATTAAATGGCCTTGCATTTTAACTTTTCTTAAATTTTCAAGGGTAGCTTTTTTATCTTCCAAAATATCTGTATTATTATAATTATCATTATTTGTTTCCAATCTTTCTATTTCTCCTAATAGGGATTTTTCTAACCCCTCTCTCTCATTTTTCTTAAATGAAGAATAAGAAATAGTTATTCCCCGTATTTCCATAAGAAGAATTTCAAGGAATAAACGGTCATCCATACTTTCAACAAGAATAACATTTCTTTCAATGTCATTTATGTTTTGTAAATATTGACCCCTAACCCTTTCTATAGTTTGCTTCACTTTTTCAACATATACCTTGTCATTCAGTAAACTATTATTAAACTTCCATAGACCACGACCTTTAATGAAGGGATTGAATTTTAATTCTAAAACAACAATAGAATGATCAGACCTGTACCCTGGTTTAACAGTGAATTCTTCAACAACATTAGATAGACCTTCAGATATTAAAATATAATCTAAACGGCCTTGTTTGACAGGGTTTTTTTTCCTCCATGTGAACACTTTCTTTTCTGGATTTAAAATCCTGTAATAATCAATCATTTGTAAATCTTCCATAACTTCTATCAATTTTTCGCGAGCCATTGGATTATTAACATTTGCATAATTATATGTATCTACTTCTGGATTAAGAGCAAGATTTAAATCACAGCATAGTACAAAATATTCGTTGTCAAATTCTAGAAAAATATCTCGAATCTTTTCATAAAATTCCGGACAGTCAGTATTTGGTCCATATACATTTACCAGGGTTAACCTATTGTCTTCAATGGTAATATGAAGAGCAATTAAATTTCCTTCCTTATCTCTCTTATCTCTGTGGATTTTAAATTCAAAATTGTTGTTAAAAAGAATACTTACTCCTCGTGAATTAGATTTATATGAACTAAAATAGCACTTATAACCCCACTGAGCTTCTACAAATGGTTCAGTTTCATAGGTAAAATGTGTATCTTGCAGACATAAAATAGAGTAACACTTTTTTCTATAATAGTTAAGGACATCCTGTCGTTTCTGAGAAGTCGCTAGACCTTGGCAGTTCACCGTTACAATTTTTATATTATCACTCATCAACGAAAACTGATCTGTAAAACTTAGGCAGCCTCCAAACGAAATATTCAACTACATGACTATTGTATTCTCTCATAAACATGCACACATTCACTCACAAATGTAAACAAAAAAGAAAAAAGACTGTATAAACAAAACAAAAAGAAAAGAAAGAAAAAAGTATGTACCTGTACGAAACAAAGTTGCAAATGCATAGTTGAAAGAGTTTTAAAGATCGATAATCAGAGTATTTATTTTTATTTGTTTACCTTTAAAAGTTCAGTGCCAGTTTAATAACGGAAACACTTCTATGGTCGGTAATTGAAGAATCGGGAACGAACATAAACCTATTTTTCCCGAAATTTACACTATAAATAAGAAACGGATTCAGAGCAGAATTGCTTAATCTGGGAAAAAGAAAATGCAAAAACTAGTTCTACAACAAACTGTTTTAAAAAAAATTTGTATTGCGGACACCTGCACACACTTTTAGTCTACAAAAGTTCTTTGAGGGTGTCAAATAACGCTTTTTCCATTATATCGAAGCGTTTCGGACCAAGATGCTTTCCCATCATGTGCGATATCACAACGGACACATTTGTCAAGTTTTGATCTTGCAGAATTTTAAGCATTTTCCTTCCAGCTCCAAATTCGCCGTCATCACAGTATCGGTCATGTATAGTCCCAGAATTGTCTTTAAAACGGTATACCAGTATATTGTGATTGGCACGCCCATAAACTGGATCCATGGAAATTTTCCTATAGAAGTTCCGAACTTTTGCATATGTCTCTACCTCAACTGCAGCTGCGCTAATTTGATTTCCTGATTCTGAGAGAGTGTTGGCGCGTTTAACTTCGATTTCCTCTAGCTTCTGCTGTTCATTCTGGTCAATTTGTAAAATTTCTTCTGGTTTTGGTGTATTTACTTTATCTCGGTAAACAGACCCATTGGGAAAAACAAGCTTGTCTCCAACAACTCTCGTTTTGATATTTTCACTCCAATATTTACTATTTAGTTCCACAATTCTTGTTTTAAATGTGGACTTTCATAGAATACCACTTGAGTTTAGTCAAAAGACATGAAATTTGATTTTAAAAGACAATATTAGTTCATATCCAAAAAATGTTGTCGAAAAAAAAAATAAAATGAAAATATACAATAAAATAATTTTCCTACCTACCTACCCTATTTTTTTTTCAGGCTGGTAGCAGGAAACAAGACTATTTTTTTTTGTCTTATCTAAAATATGGATCACAAAAAGATGTTGTTTTTTCCCCATCAATTTAATTTATTCATCATTTTCACCAATTGCTATTTTCCTATTCTTGGAAAAAAAGTTCACAAATTAATATATTTCAATGTACGTGATGTAAACTTCAGAAACTTGCATCTGCTGAACATCAATTTTAGTGCCCTTGTAATCGTAGATTCGGGGGTATATAGTTTTTGCCCTGTGCATCCATCTGTCTGTTTGTCCGCAAAAAAAATCATTAATCATCAAGTCGTAATGTTATGACAGCATGCTTTAATAGTGACTACTTATACAGTTTGATGGAACCACGGACCTATACTATACGTCCCTGACAGAATGGCATCCAAATGTCATAAACTTTTTAGAACCTGACCTTGTTATTGAAACAATTGGTCAATTGCTTGCATATTACAACTAATTAAGTGTTTTGGCAGCATTAATAATGACTGTTTAATGGGTTAGGTACGTACTATGTAATAATAAGTAAACATGACAAACAGCTGGCAAAGTCCTGTCTCAATAAGTGTCAAACTTGGTATTTTCTTTTGAATAAATTTTAATTCTAGGATCAGTCTTCTTGTGTTCCTCTTTGTACTGTACAACCATAAGGGTGGTTGTATTAATAAAAATATTTCCTTAAACCTAGCAAATTGTTTATAGTCACAGTAATACCTTACATCTTTGATTTAGTAAAGACATAAAACATACAGGGTGCTAGTTCCTTGTTTTCCTAGTGTTATTCACAAAATATTTTCATTATGGCAAGTGAAATATTCTGAAATGGTGGCCAAAATTTTTTTTAGGTCCTCATTTAGTGACCTGAAAGTAAGTGTGACTTGGAACACTGTTGGGTAAAACATTTTTCATCTCTTGACCTCTCAAGAACATTGAAAAAAAAAATGCACTACAAAGAGGATGCAGCGTATCAAATTTGAAAATCCATTATTCTAAATATTTACCTGATGAGTGATGAACTCCAAGGAAGATTGTCCATTGGGCATGGGATCACCATAGTCATATCTGATCTCCTTCCCTCTATCAATATCCCTTCTTGCAAAGAAAAAGCCTGGAGTAGTTGTTAAACACTTTTAACTTCTCATAACATGCATAAGATGGGGTTGTCTATAGCTGCATCATTAACCTACTTTCCAAGCCTTTGGAAGCTGTCAGATGCATCAATGCTTGTAAATAAAAAGTTTAAAGTTACATATAAACATAATAACATATATGATGAAATATTAGGACTGCAGGAACAATACAGGTTTTATGCAACAATCACAATATAGTAGTCACAATATATGAATCACAATGTATTTTTCCAAAAATAATTTTTGTTTCATACAATTTGCAAGAGTAATAAAAATCCCTGCCACTGTATGATATTGTCCAATTATCGTACACATTTTAGAGTGCAAGAAAATTATGTTATTCTTTACTCTAACCAGAAGTCTCTGATGAGACTGTAGCTCTACTGGTCTGTTTGTATAACAAAAGAAAAGTAGCACTTGGATTTGAAACATTGCAACATGCAACAATAAATAGAATTATGTATCTTAATGTAGTCTACTTCTGTGCCAAGTTATATTGAAATCAAATGAAAACTGTAGGAGGAGTAGCGTTTTGAAAGTATTTCACGGAAATTTCTATTTTTAGTAACCATGACAACACCATTCACCCAAATAAAAAAAAACAGAAATACATATTATGTATCGTAGTGTATTCTAACTGTGTGCCAAATTAGATTGAAATCAGACCAAAATTGTAGGAGGAGTAACGTTTAATGGGAATTTCACAAAAATTTCTACTTTAAGTAACCATGGCAACACTGTTCATCGAATTCAAAAACCAATCCAATAAATTATGTATCTTAGTATAGTCTCCTTGTATGCCTAATTATATTAAAAGCAGACTAAAACTGTAGCAGGAGTAGTGTTTTAAAGGAATTTGACAGAAATTTCTATTTTTAGTAACCATGGCAACACCGTCCATCGAAATCAAAAACCGATGCACTAAATTATGTATCTTAGTGTAGTCTACTTGTGTGCCAAGTTATATTGAAATCGGACCAAAACTGTAGGAGGAGTAGCGTTTTAAAGGAAATTCACAGAAATTTCTATTTTTAGTAACCATGGCAACACCGTCCATCGAAATCAAAAACCGATGCACTAAATTATGTATCTTAGTGTAGTCTACTTGTGTGCCAAGTTGTATTGAAATCGGACCAAAACTGTAGGAGGAGTAGCGTTTTGAAAAATTGTTTACAGACAGACGGACAGACAGACAGACAGACAGACAGACAGACAGACGGACGGACGACGGACACCTTACTATCGCATAAGCTCTTCTGGTCTCTGACCAGTAGAGCTAAAAAATTGTCATCCTAGTGAGACATGACACTCTGCAATTTGTTGTAAAGATATAAAAATCCAAATAAACCAGAAGTCTCTGATGAGACTGTAGCTCTACTGGTCTGTTTGTATAACAAAAGAAAAGTAGCACTTGGATTTGAAACATTGCAACATGCAACAATGAATAGAATTATGTATTTTAATGTAGTCTACTTCTGTGCCAAGTTATATTGAAATCCAATAAAAACTGTAGGAGGAGTAGCGTTTTGAAAGTATTTCACGGAAATTTCTATTTTTAGTAACCATGACAACACCACTCACCCAAATAAAAAAAACAGAAATACATATTATGTATCGTAGTGTATTCCAACTGTGTGCCAAATTAGATTGAAATCAGACCAAAATTGTAGGAGGAGTAACGTTTAATGGGAATTTCACAAAAATTTCTATTTTAAGTAACCATGGCAACACTGTCCATCGATTTCAAAAACCAATGCAATAAATTATGTATCTTAGTATAGTCTTCTTGTATGCCTAATTATATTAGAAGCAGACTAAAACTGAAGCAGGAGTAGTGTTTAAAAGGAATTTCACAGAAATTTCTATTTTTAATAACCATGGCAACACCGTCCATTGAATTCAAAAACCGATGCAATAAATTATGTATCTTAGTATAGTCTTCTTGTATGCCTAATTATATTGAAATCGGACCAAAACTGTAGGAGGAGTAGCGTTTTAAAGGAATTTCACAGAAATTTCTATTTTTAGTAACCATGGCAACAATGTCCAACGAAATCAAAAACCGATGCACTAAATTATGTATCTTAGTATAGTCTTCTTGTATGCCTAATTATATTGAAATCGGACCAAAACTGTAGGAGGAGTAGCGTTTTAAAGGAATTTCACAGAAATTTCTATTTTTAGTAACCATGGCAACAATGTCCAACGAAATCAAAAACCGATGCACTAAATTATGTATCTTAGTGTTGTCTACTTGTAAGCCAAGTTATATTGAAATCGAACCAAAACTGTAGGAGAAGTAGCGTTTTAAAGGAATTTCACAGAAATTTCTATTTTTAGTAACCATGGCAACACCGTCCATTGAAATCAAAAACCGATGCACTAAATTATGTATCTTAGTGTTGTCTACTTGTAAGCCAAGTTATATTGAAATCGAACCAAAACTGTAGGAGAAGTAGCGTTTTAAAGGAATTTCACAGAAATTTCTATTTTTAATAACCATGGCAACACCGTCCATTGAATTCAAAAACCGATGCAATAAATTATGTATCTTAGTATAGTCTTCTTGTATGCCTAATTATATTGAAATCGGACCAAAACTGTAGGAGGAGTAGCGTTTTAAAGGAATTTCACAGAAATTTCTATTTTTAGTAACCATGGCAACACCATCCATCGAAATCAAAAATTGATGCACTAAATTATGTATCTTAGTGTAGTCTACTTGTGTGCCAAGTTATATTGAAATTGGACCAAAACTGTAGGAGGAGTAGCGTTTTAATGGAATTTCACAGAAATTCCTATTTTTAGTAACCATGGCAACACCGTCCATCAAAATCAAAAACCGATGCACTAAATTATGTATCTTAGTGTAGTCTACTTGTGTGCCAAGTTATATTGAAATCGGACCAAAACTGTAGGAGGAGTAGCCTTTTGAAAAATTGTTTACAGACAGACGGACAGACAGACAGACAGACAGACAGACAGACAGACAGACGGACGGACGCCGGACACCTTACTATCGCATAAGCTCTTCTGGTCTCTGACCAGTAGAGCTAAAAATATAACGCAGCAAGGTTAAGGATGCCCACAGGAAATAATACGCCTAAAAATATTCCGAGAAAATAATATAGTGTTGATTTTTTTTTTACAGCATGAGTTTTGATTAATGGGAATTCTACTATTTGCATATGTAGGAGGGTTGTCCCAGAAATACCTGAACATTTTCAATATCTTTTGTTTCACTAATACTGTAAAGTTAAAAATAGGCATGATAGATCATGATCAACATTTTTGTGAATTTTTTCTGGAAATGTGCTTCTGATAAAATTAGTTTATTTAAGCATAAATTCGGCACAGTATTTAATTTTATTTTATTTACCAAGTAATGCATCTCAAATACGGCGTGTGTTGCTAAAAGATTGTGGAATTAATTCTTTCAATAGACAATTTCTCAATTCCGATAATAAACCTAACAGTTCACATTGTTTAACGATGGCCTTGGCTTAGGCTTATGACGTAAAGCTCAGGACTTTCAGTTTGTCTTCATTTCTTTTGGTCTACAAAATGTCTCTTCCAGCACTAATATCTCTTTCATCGTATGGGCAAGAGTCCTATCCCGTTTTAAAGACAGTGCTGCTTAATAATTTGTGCTCCAAATTATCACTAAACGTCACCATTTTTAACAATATCTAATTAAAAGTGTTCTGGCATATAAGGTCATATATTTGTCATTAATGATATCAAACTAATGAATTTTCATACACAAGTATATCAGCTAGATCAGAGAGTATTTATGGAGGTAAAGTTTGTGACATTATATTTCCGTATAGCCTGGTAATAAAGAAAAATTCATTGACAATGCTACTTTTAAAAGTCAATAAACTGCAGTGTGCAGACCACCGATATTTAACACCCTTTAAATGCCGTTTTTACATATTAATGACATCACAAGCCTAAAATATTTTGTCATAATACTGAAAATATCATTTTCCAACAACTTGCAAAAAATTATTAGTTCTGGTCAAATAGTTTCTGAAATATACAAAAAGTTTGTGTTTTCTGGGACAACCCTCATATATATGAGATCTTTGCCGAGTTCGGCCAAAGCAACTTAACTTACATCAGCTGTTTGTCAAGTGACATGTTTAAAATTACAAAAAATATGTATGGCTACAAAGATCATAAAGTACAACGATATACGGATATCTTTTCACTATGAAATTAATTTTGTTTTCTTTAAGACAAATTCCTTAACCTGAAAAGTGCTGGGAGCAACTTACCCATGCCTGAGAATTATGTAAAATTTTTGATAAACTTCCTACATTGACATAATATGCATTGAAATAATGGTAAAATACGGAAAAAAGCAACAGCGCACAACCAGCTCCTGGCACTTTTCAAAGTAGTAGGGATGTTACTACCTTTGTATAATAAAGTGCCCCAGCATGATACGCCCGTCAAATATTGTTCAATTATCACTAACAATTTAGAGTGCAAGTCAACCTTGATACAAGGATTTCCAAGATTTTTCCATTTCTTACAATTTTTGTTTATACATTTCCTGTGGTGTAGGCATTATAACAAATATTACATTATAGATCCTCAACTGGTAGTGTTAGAGCTTGACAAATGCCCATCTGCACCCCCCCCCCCCCCACACACACACACACACACAGTGACACACACACACATCTTTCATATTTGAGACATGCTGCTCTGAAATTTACTAGTTGATATTTTCAAAAAATTAAATAAAAATATAATATTAAACAGAATCAATTTAGTCTTAACAACTTAATCATGTTAATCTATACCAATTTAATTTTAAAATAAAAGACTGGCCATCAAATGACATATGCTATAAACTGACCAGCAGTTCTTCTGTCTAATTCCCAAAGGATACAGATAAGAACTGCTTGATCAGAGATGCTCTAACAGAAATGATTGAGAACAGCTAGCCTTCCTACACTGAACTCATTAATTAATCTTTAACTGGATGCATGTCCACTCATTACTCCCAAGGGATGAATGGATCTGTGCTATCTGCTTTGTAGTGCAATTAAAATGAATATTTATGTCATTCTGAAATTAAATTTGAAAACAAAGATTTTTTTTTGTTCAATTTGTTACAAAGATTTATAAAAAGAAAAAAAAATTGTAATCTTGATGCAACATTTTTAATAAGGTTTCTGCTTGACTCTTAGATTTGTAGGGACTATCTATTAGTTTATTATACAATATCAAATTAGTTTATTATACAATTATTGTATCAAATTAGTTTTAATTACTTTTCACCAAATTCATTTTAAAAGTTAGGCTAGCCCACAAAAAACTATTTAATCCAACATGGCTGATTCCTCTGCCCAATTCCCAAGAGATATAGATAACACCTGCTTGATCAGAGATGCTCTACCAGTTAGCTCCTCACACTAAACTAATTTCTCGCTAATTTGACATGCAATTTTCTGTTATCAAAATTCTCCTTGACCAGTGCTTGATAATTACACCCATGGGAGAGGTGGAATTTCTCTTGTAACATTATATTTGTTATAGATTGCTGTAAAGTATATAATGAAAAAAATAAGTATTTCTTGATTTTAACATCTTTTTAATAAGGATACTGCAACACTTCTACATTTTTTGGGATTGTGTAATTTAATAGTAAAAAGACAGTTTTTTTTTTTTTTTTAAAATTTCACTTAAATTAAAGGTCACAGTGACCTTGAAATAGGTCGCGACACACCTTCTACCTAAGATGCATAAACTGGCCAAGTTTGATGATTATAAGTCTAATAGTTTTCTAGTTATGAGCCGGACAGGATTTTTCCATATTTGGCCATAGCATCTTAATTAAAGGTCAGAACGACCTACTTTTAGTGCGTGACACACCTTCTACCAAAGAAGTATCAGCTGACAAAGTTTGATAATCCTAGGCCTAATAGTATTAAAGTTATGAGCCGGACACGAAAAAAGCTAACAGACAGACAGACAGACGGACATGAACGCCATAACATAATACGTTCCGTCTAAAGACGGGCGTATAAAAAGTCATAAATTATAGTGAAGCAGATATCGTTGAACTTTTGAGATTTTCGAGGGGCTGTGCCTTTTATTCTAGATTGTTAATGTATAAATGTGCCTTACTGTGGCTTTATATGAGGTCTACACATTTTCAATTTAAGGCCTAAAAAAAAAATAAGTTTGTTTCCTGTAACCCGACCGACCCATTCAAATTATCCCCCGGCTGATTTTTTTTTTTCTGCCAAATCTGCATTTGCTCTTTGGTTCGATCGATCAGCTGATTCCATTTATTCAAAAAATATTAATTGTAGCTTTATTTGAGATATAAAATATGTCATCCTAGTCAACATTTACCTTGAATATAAAGAGTAATCATTATTGTAACAACAATTTCCACCCACAACTTTTAGAATTTCGTTCTCTGCCGCTAAGCAGCCATTTTGGGTGTCCACTTAAAATATAACACCTGGTTAATTCAGTCTGGGGATGTTTGACCCTTTTATCCATAAGCAAAAAAAAAAAAAAAAAAAAAAAAAAAATCCCGACCTACCGACCCTTGATTTTTTGGGAATGTTACAGGAAGCAAACAATTTTTTTTAGGCCTAATTAGACTATAAAATATTGATTAATACATTCAAAAATATGACTTAGTTTTGGTCAGATCACACTTATTTTAATTTGATATTTACAAGCTACAATAATAGCTTGATCTACGCCTCAAGTACAGAGAAACTGTCTGTCAAACTAGGGTGTGACGTCATCTTAGTCAGTGCAGGAAGGTCAAGATGGCTTAAATTCTACATTCAAATAGTGTTATTATGACATGATAAGTTACACATCAATTTATGTTTACAATATTTATCATGTTATGAGAAAAGACTGTATTTGAGTGTGTATGAAAAAGAAAACATTAGTATTTAGGATTTATTTGTTCAGTTTCATTGTGACGTCATAATCGATTTCCAGAAGCTCTGCATATAGGCTGATGTAAGTATGGGAGTCCTAAACCTAGCTGCGTATACAATATATATATATATTTTTATATAATTAGTTTTGATTACTTGTTAAATATACAATATCAAATTAGTTTTAATTATATTATATACTAAAAGATTAGTTTTATTTACTTAACAACAAATTTATCTTGAAAGTTAGACTAGACAAGAAAGTCGACTTTTGCACTCGGCGAGCAGAGTTTTGACACTGTTTACGGAAATAAAAGAAAATTAATAAATAAGACAAACATGTCATAGATAGTTGTGTAGATAAATTATCGTAGAGGACAATGGTAATAAACAGTTTGCCAGTGCATTTCCTCTGAAAGTGTAAATAAGTTCAATTTTGGGGAAGGGGGGGGGGGGGGTACTCAATGTAATATGGAGTTGGATACCTTGTGTTATCATCATACTATGGGTTGAAAAATTTATTACCAAAACAAGTGCCTGTAATACCAGCTGTTAAAAATCAGTATGGGCCACTACCATTTTAGAACTAGTAGCCTCTTCAGCGACCAGTTTTAAAGGCTGATATTTTTAACCGAACAGTTTTCTCTGGTGAGGGGAGGGACTAAGATTTTCCCAGAGGCTGATCGTGTATGGTGTTAATACCTATACACACACAGTATACACAGGAAGTCCTTGTTACCTGTGGGAACTTTTATACATATATTTCTAAAAGATGATAAATTTTTTAATTGTAAGCTAGCTTATTGTGAGAAAATATAGCATTATAACTGACAAACTGTCAACTTTAATGCATTTAATTATCAAACAAACAGCATATAGAACTCTTTAAATACAGCGATCTTTACTGCAATGTGTTGACGTGATCCTTGTCATGTTAAATATGGGAAATTCCGAAAATATCAATGTACCTGTATTTAATTTCAATTATTTATAAGTGTAAAAAAAGTTGTTATACAGTGCCTGGGAAGGTAAAACAACAGATGCGGGCAAATGGCCCTGTTATTCATAGCCACTAACCAGGGTCATTTTGAAATTTAAGGGGTCTAGAGGATATATATTCAGGTCATTCTAAAATATGTCATAGTTTTGTGCTAATAATAATGCATATACATGTATCTTTGACACCTAAATTTAAGTTGCTAAAGAATGCCATAGGAATTGACAAATCATTCGACATTGACTAGCAAAAGTGATTTTTCTGTTTCTAAGAAATTCATAAATCATTCGTCATCTACCACAGCAAGTATTTAGGAAAATTACATTTAAACCAAACACACACTTTTTTTAAATTGTCGATTTAGAGATCAAGGGACAGGCAAAGATAAAAAACTTTGATGATGTGGTTTTTCATTGTAAGGTAAAATTTTTTTTCGTAAATCTGTGGTAAGCCATCCAAAATGACTTAACATTTCTTTGCCAATGGATGTAAAATATGTTGAATGTCGGTTCCAATTTTTTAATATGATACATTACAGATTCCATCTACCTTCGACGATGAATACTGTACCGATAGAGCAGACTGATATGAACTTTACAAAGTAGAAAACAATGTGTGTTGTGCTGCATGGCATCAGTGCATCAATGCATTGGGCCATTTTTCGGCAGTATGCACATATAGCACATGATATGGCCCCTTCCCAGGTCCTGGTCATAAAAATTTTTATGATCAAGATCAAAATGTTTAGAAAACCCTGTTTGTATGAAAAGTTGTGCAACACTTCTCTTAACAATTGAGCAAATGGCAAAAGATGCAATGTGGAAAAGCCACAAATATCTAGAAATAACCGTAGTGGGAATTGAATCATGCCAATCTCAAACAAATGCAAAAAAATGTTTTATAACTGAGGTTTTTCCTAATGCTTCTGTAGTAGGCCCTATATTATGTTCTCCCTCCTTTCTTTCATCAGAGGTAAGGCATAATAAAAAAATATGTTTGTTTACAGTTACCCGACTGAACCTATATCTAATACGCAACCCAAATTTTTTTTTGTCGTAAAAATCCAGAAGTCACTCATTCGTCGGTTTAACTTTTACATGCATCTTAATCAGTCAAGCGTTTGAAATCGAAAGTACTAGAAATAATTAGTGCAACATGGAATTAAAGAAGAAATACAAGACAGTTTTTTTCATTGTGTGGTAGCTGTAAGGCAGATGGCAAGCCCAAACAAAAGTAAAGCACCACACAATGGTAAAACTGTCTTGTTTATCAACCAATTCATTTGAATTTGTGTATAAAAAAATTCAATAAAATAAAAAAAATCCTACCTATCGGTCTTATTTTATTTCGGCATGTAACAG